AGGGATAGAAGGGAGATACACCAGGAAGGAGGTGGGGGGGGGGATGGTCCAGATTGTGTGGGCCTTAGAGGTCACCTCAGTTACCATTAAACCATCTCACTGAGTCAGTGGGAGCCACTGGAAGGTTGAAGACAAAGAAGTGACAGGAGTGACTCTCTTGGCCTGCCTGATGGTGGTGTAGACCAAGGAGGTAGCAGCGGAAGAGTTAGTGGCCCTGCTCTAGAGATAATCAGAGGTAAGGCCCAGGCCCTCCTTCCCACAGCCTCTAACCCTTCACAGATTTCACCGGGAAGCCCGTCTGTGTCGTCAGAGACAAGTTCTCTCTGGCCCCCTTGCCTCAAGCCACACTCTTATCCCGCTGTCTGATGGAGATGCCCACCATCCCTGTCCCCATCGGAGACCCGCAGTCCAATCGGGACCCCTGGCTTCCTTATGGTGGGTACTTTGGCAGGTGCCTGGGAAGGAAAGGACCAGTGCTCTTAGGTCAGTGGGGTTCCGTGGGGCACCCTAGAGTTTTCCACATTTCCTCAGACAGCAGAATCTGCGTTTTTCCCCACTGCCCAGGTCCTCAGAAATGTGGCCCCTACTCAGATTTGAGGTGTTTGAGGCGTTATCACAGAGGACGGGCAGATAGTCACGTGATTGACAGCTACAGGCAGGAATGAAATTGGAAATATTGAGCAGCTTGTATGTTCAGGGACCAGTCAGTGAGAGCCATCCAAACAGAGACGGGGCTGGAGCAAAAGCTTTCCGGAGGCCCCTGCCCTGCCCTGCCCAGTCTGACCCTTCTGGAAGGGCCAAGGGAAAGCCCGCCGGCGGGGGTGGGGGTGGGGAGAGCCCCCAAGGAGGAGGAACCAGGACAGCCCTGCAGCGCAGAGAGGCTTGGGAGGCTTCGCCAGGAACAGTCCAGTATCTGAGTGACTGGCACAGCATAGCAACTGAGCCAACCTCGGTGCCAGCCTCCGGCCCCGAAAAGAGGCAAAGCTAGATTAAACCACAGGCATCTCGGCCCCTGTAGCCAAGCATCTCCAGCACCTCCCCGGGGAAGCCACAGGCTGGGATATGAACTTCAGCCCCCTCCGGGAGCGACCGCACTCACCTAACAATGGGGGGGCATTGCCGCTCCTTCCCTCAAGGGCACCGCCTCCCCCTCTCCCTGTAGGACACAGGGCAGAAGGCTGGGGAGGTGAGCAGGCTCTTCCCACCCCCCACAGCCCTCCCAGTGCCGGGTGCCGCAGGGAGGGCAAAGAAAAGGACCCCGGGTATCAGCTGGCAACGTCTTGTCCCCTCATCCCAGAGGCCTGGAAGAAGGAACTGAAGAACCTGGCTTCTCGGGTGGCCGTCTTCACCGAGAACGAGCTGAAGAGCAAAGAGGTGGGTGCGGAACACAGGAGCTGTCTGGGAAGGGGTGCGACGGGGCCGTCCCTTGGAATCCCTCCTGAGTGGATTCCACCTAATGGGGTGCAGAGACAGCGCTCACGAGGGGCGCTCTGTTGGCCCGGGAGGAGGGGCTGCGCGGCACCAGCGGAAGGGGGAGGGTCCATCGTGGCTAGGTGGAGAAGTCCAAGAAGGGTTCATAACAGAGGTGGGATGTTTAGAACCCGACAGGGGAGGCATTCCTCGTGGGGGCAGGCGGCTCAAACGCTCAGAAGCTGGGAAATGCAGGACATCTTTAGAGACCGGGGCTGAGGTCCAGGGAATTGAAGTGGACAGCCATCGGGGGGAGGATGGGAAGGGGCCGACTTTGAATGTGGGCCAGAAGAGGCGTTTGTTCTTAGTTTCTCAACTTAGTGGAGTGTCAGATCTCCTAAGGAGCGGAGGACCACCGAAGGATTTCAAACAGGATGGGGTGGCCTCACGGGTGCTATTTGCTGGTAAGCCAGTAAAGGCAATTGGGAGGCAGCTTGAAGGTAGTTGGAATTGGACTTAGGACAGGCCTGGCCCTTGGGGACAGAGTCTGGTCCTGCCCTTGTCTTTTTTTTTTTTTTTT